TTCGTCTCCCCGAAGTCTCCGGCCAGTCCTACTGCCACTTTCCAAACAGGCTATGGGATGGGGATGCCATATCCAGGAAGCTATAACACACCCCCTTTGCCGGGAGTGCAGACTCCCTGCTCCCCAAAAGATGCCCTGTCCCCTGCACCATTTGCACCGCAGGAGTCAGCAGTGGTTCTGCAGCCTGCCTACCCACCCAGCCTCTCGTACTGCACCCTGCCCCCCATGTATCCGGGAAGCAGCACCTGCTCGAGTTTACAGCTGCCGCCCATCGCCTTGCACCCCTGGGGTTCCTACAGCCCTTGCCCGCCCATGCAAAGCCCCCAGGGCACTCTCCCCCCCAAGGCTCACCTGGTGGTAGAGAAGCCCCTCGTGTCCCCACCGCCCACCGACCTCCAAAGCCACTTGGGTACCGAGGTGATGGTAGAGACCACAGACAACTTCCAAGAAGTCCTCTCCCTGACGGAGAGCCCAGTCCCCCAGCGGACAGAGAAGTTCGGCAAGAAGAACCGGAAGCGCCTGGACAGCCGAGCAGAGGAAGGAAATGTTCAGGCCATCACGGAGGGCAAAGTGAAGAAGGAGGCACGGACTTTGAGTGACTTTAATTCCCTGATCTCCAGCCCCCGCCTGGGGAGAGAGAAGAAGAAAGTGAAGAGTCAGAAAGACCAACTGAAGTCAAAGAAATTGAACAAGACGAATGAGTTCCAGGACAGCTCGGAGAGCGAGCCCGAGCTGTTCATCAGCGGGGACGAGCTGATGAACCAGAGCCAGGGCAGCAAGAAGGGCTGGAAGAGCAAGCGGAGCCTGAGGACGGCCAGTGAGCTGGAAGAGTTCAAGTGCCGGAAAGCCAGCGAGAAGGAGGATGGGCGGCTGGGCAGCCAGGGCTTCGTGTATGTCATGGCCAACAAGCAGCCTCTGTGGAACGAAGCCACCCAGGTGTACCAGCTGGACTTCGGGGGGCGGGTGACCCAGGAATCGGCCAAGAACTTCCAGATTGAGCTGGAGGGGCGGCAGGTAAGCAAGCTTGTCCCGGGGCATGGCCAGAATTGCTGCGTTCTGGTCTTGACTGGTCC